TTTTAAAGCAGCGAGCAGCATGGTACAGGAAGATACCTGTTCCCCTTCCAGAACTGAGATTCTGCATTAGTTGTCCCAAAAACAATCCAGAGAAGGATTTGAGCATAAACAGGATGCTTGCTATAGCTACAATGTATGTGATCATATGCACCAGATAGCTCCAACGTATGATTTCAGCCTGTCTTCAAAGTCCTACCAATGTGAATACTACCATTAAGTAACACTCAGCACTTTTTCTCTACCATTTAAACACATGGTGTATGTCCACTAAGATACAGATACTATGTGCAAGAGAACAGGTACGTATATCTCTAATTCATACCTGCATGGATGTACCATATACATATGCTCTCGTGGTTTTTGAACATTAGCTTTCCAAAAGTGATTATGGTCAGACTTTTTCTCTGTACTTTTACCTACGTGGGGATGGTATTTCTGAAACGGATGATGAGAAAAGGGCATTTTAGAAATGACTACTCTGCAGTAAATCACGTTCTTGTTCAGCATTAGAACGTTAAACTACCCCCCCGATTGCTGCTTTGGAAAGGAAAGCTTAAATATTGTCCTCCGCAAAGAGTATGCTGGAACAATAATGTTTCAGAAAACACTAAAATATTCAAAACATCCTTGGATTTGCTCCACCAAAACCATACCCTTTTGTTTTTAATCCTAGCACCAGTGGCAGTATCAATCTCGAACTATTCCCTTTCTTGAACACAGTTACTCCTGGCAAAACAGGGACACAGCTGAAGACAAGCAGGCTTATTTTACTAAATAATGTAACTAGTTATTTTTGATGTATTAGTCTAATTTACTGTTTCCAAACAGATTATTCACTTTAAGTGCAAAAAGTTGATTTCTATGGTCTGTTTGATGCTTTTTCATGCATGCAAACTTCTCAGAGAACATTCTGTCTTTAGCTTCCTGTTATGCACATTTTTAAGAGCTTAATGTTTCCTGCCTCCACTTAATAGGAAAGAACATTGCCCATTTTTGCTGAATGTCAATGAGATAGTTACACTACAGAAATCGTGCTTAAACAACTCCGATGCTGTGGCAAGGTATCAGCAGAATTCCACCCCATACTGGAGAAGAGTTTAATTACTCTAATGCACAACCAAAACAAAATGGAATCTCCCCAAAACATAATGCAAAGGGTCAGAAACTCAATCACCAGTGAATAGTGAATTAAGTGGGGCTCTCTTATTTAAAAGATAAGTAAAATGAAATGAAATGAAATGAAATAAAATGGAATAAATAAAGTCTTGCAGAGGCTTCATGGATCTATTTACAATTTATTTAGTTCAGTTAATAGGGGTTTTGTCTCATCAGGCAGGAGATGAAGCAGCATCGGCCTCTCCCTAAGCACCTTCAGTATTTTACTAACGAAGTTACAGTACATCAGAATATTTTAATCTGACACAAAGAACAACAATAGATCTGACTGCTGGGCTGATAATCTTCTTATCACACCCTGTGAAACCTAGCTCTAATATTTGACTGAGCCTCCATTACTCGGCAACACATTCTAAAAAGGCCAACAATGGAGAGAGAATGAAGTGGAGTGTGGAAGTACCTCCATATCTACATAAAAGAGATTAGAGGCGACAGCGTTCCATTTTACAGCTCAATCATATTGTGTTAGCATGCGCTTATCCGAGCGCGGATGAAATTGAAAGAGAAATAAAAAAGAGTCAGGCAGATAGGAACCATAAAAGCGAGGCATGAGCAATTTCCAAGGATATAAAAGGATGCTAATGGCGGGGCCCTGTCATTCTTAAAAAGGGCTATTAGGGCACCATCATCTGTTCTTGTGCCCTTACGCTCCTCTAACTAAAGTCAAGCATTTCCTAATGCCATTGTGATCTTTTTCTTCTTCAGATAAGACATGGTCATGTTTCATAACAACACACTTCCCATTTATTTGATTTATAAATGCAGGGAGACTAATTCTATTTACTGATAAAGGCTTTCCATATATATTTTTCTTTCAATATTTCCTTTTGTAGATGGCATAGACTTTTTTTGTTCAATAAAAGCAACTATTGAAATGTTTCCAATAGCACAAAAATACTAATGATTTTATCAAAACATTTGAACTTTGTACAGTTTTAAAACAGTTCTCAGTCTATGACCACGATAGGAACTGGTTGGCCAGGACAGAATGCGTATCACGTTGTTACCTTTTATAGATAATCTCATTAAAAGACTTTCTGTTAGAACAGCAAAAACATTATTTTGGTTTCTTCCACAAAGACAAATTTTACTTTGAATTGCAATGCTTTACAGTCAAGATCTTTATTACTTATTAAGCACCTGATATATAAGGGCCTTTAATTATACCGAACCTTAAGAAATCACTATAGTAAAGAAAGATTTGCTGATTGCTGCTTTGCTGTGCTAGGCACAAATTCACTACTGGTATAATTAATCGATTCCAAGAGATTTACACCAAGGATTTACTTAGTGCACCATGCTGCAGTGAACTTATATGCAATTTGCACCCTTTTTCCAACTCATCCTTTTCCCAGTTCTGTTCTGTTTCTGCCCACAGTAACATTTGTTAGCTTACAAAAGTCAGCTAGCACCAATCCGGGCTCTTCTACAAGTTGTTGTGTGTCAGACATTAGCCGAGCACAGGCAGTCCAAGTTCAGCAGAGCTCCATCATTCAAAACAGAGCTACGAAAGCTCATCCCATTTGCAGTTTAGCATGTCAAGCCCTTTTGCATTCTGATTTTTGTGATCAAATGTCAGAGAACAAGCAGAGTTTTCATCACCGCCCTCTGTTACCAGAAGGCTTACAAAAAGGTTGTCTTATTTTAACTTTTCCTTCCTAAACGGAGTCAGGTGAATAAACTTAGCATGTGGCTTTACCACAGCAGGAGTGGTTTTGAGTTCACCTTGTTATAAAAGCTGCTTCATGGGAAAAATAGTGTTCCTCAACTGGTTCAGATCGCAGACTTTAAGTTTTCAAGGCCAGTATACAGCATCCAACACCTCTTCCATGTTAACCAAAGCCATCATGTTAAAGAATGCTCAGTCTCATGGCTCTGCTTCTCCTGCCCCTCCAGCAAAATCAAAGCTACACAGCATATTCACAAATCAAACCAGCTAAAGTTATCCTGCAACTACTATGGAGTACGACTGACTTCTTTGAGAGCTACTCTATTTCGGTTAAGGTGATCTAGGTATCTTCCAAAGATGAAACTCAAACTCACCTACTTAATTCATTTCGACTTAATTTGGGGTGCTTTATTAGCAACCGGCGTAAGATAAAGTAGCTACTATAATATAGACTGATGTTTAAATTAGTTTACAATTTGCTTGGGCTCATCTAGAACCGCTCGGAACAAAGCCATTCAGAAATGTCAGCTGTGTTCCTAACCACTGTAACAAATTGTTGCCTGAACGCTGCACACCTAATGACTTCAAATTAGCTTCACTGCGATATTGCCTGACAGTTCGTTACGACTGTTAGCAACATAGCTGGCGTATCATGACCAATAAATTGGTTTCAGTGTGGGCTGGGAAAGGGACTTCCATCAATTTGATTAAAGAAATTACTGTAGCATTCAAAGCATAAAGACAAACTAGTTTAAGGAGACACAAATAAGTTAACTGTACCAGAAAAACATTGCTTGTGGTACAAAAGCTTGGTTATACACCATTTGTGGCACAGAGAAATGACTGCATTTCAACTGCATGGCATACCGACTGTTTTAGAGTTTGCAGGTTGTTGTCCCTAATCTGAAGCAAAATAATGCTCCGTACATGTACAAATTATTTTATTCTTATTCTTTGTTAGCGTTTATATATATCAAAGATGACCCAGAAGCATGTACCTGAAGAACTGAGGCCTTGTGCTGGTTAGCACAAGTGAGAAAAAACTTGGAAGACTATTTCTTTGTGATTTCTTTTGATACCAGAAATAACGTACCTTTAACTTTGATAAACATAAAACGGACTAGATTATTTATTCTACTATTCAAGTATCCCAAAATCACATTTAAAATGAGGATGATGGAATTAAAGGTTATTTGTTCTTATGCTCAACAAGGCTCCACTATCAAAATTACAAAACTAGCAAGCTGATGAAAACATACCAAACTTGCTCACTCGATGCTGGAGTAGAAAAATACCTTAAGAAACAACGAAAAAAGCCAACCTTTTTTGTGTGACTTTACCACTTGTGAAAGGTGACAAACCGAGAACCCCGGAGACGCTCTGTAAGTTTGTCTGCTAGCTCACAGAGCAAGAACAAACACCTCAGTACTGGGGGGAAATAGAATATACCTGAACTCTTACCTGAAGAAATTGCTCATCTTCTCAGAAGCTGCTCTTGATGACCCCCACTTTTCTTGCTCACAGGAGTACCAATCAGCTCTTATAATATCGACACATTTATGTGATGTAGATCACAGCCCATTTCATGCAGACCAAGGAACTACTAAGCTGTAAGATACCTTTTGGTACAATTCAATTCTTTCTACTGAATTGCTGGTATAAGTCAGTTCATTCAGTGAAAAGAACAATTGCTCTGTGCCATGCCAGCATGTAAGTCGATTTTTGAACCTCCTGTGGTCGGTAAGAGACAGTGCTGCATTTATGTAATGGAGGAACGAGACTCAGATACAACTACCACTGAATCAGATTAGTATAGAGGAAAGGACTTACACTACCTTTCATACTAATTCAGGCTGATGCTCTGGAGAGGAAGGTGAGTGTATCTTAATGAAAGTAATACATGAAAAAGATTCTTTCACTAAGCAGCATGTAAAACTTTTTAACATAGCAACACTCGCAGCAACACCACTATTTTTTTCTGTATTTTTAAGGTAAAATGTATTACCATGTAACCAACATCCTATGTGAATCATCCAGAGCCTTAAGAAAACTTCATGCATTGTAGTGAAAGGACAAAATGTAATTTTGACCATAACAGAATAACCCACACAATGATTTCTGTATGTCATCTATTTGCAGTAAATACTTTTCATACCTGGAATATGCTTAGCCCATCCAATGATCACCACCAGTTCTCTGTCTGCCAGGTCACAAAGAGTGGTAAGTGCTTTGATGTCACTGTCTGGAACAGTGGGGTCAGGCATAGCATAGATCTTCTCTGGTTCAGCCACCAGCAAATGGGAGACAATCTTGTTATCTGCAAAAATGGTCCAGAACAGTACAAGATCACCAGTAGCATCATTCCATTTTTCAAACAGATGGCTCATATTTCAAAGTGCACATGAATTTCTCTTAAGATACTGGACCTAATTAAACCATACTGTAACTTCACCGTCTTCTACAAGCGTCGCAGCACAAATAAATCTGATACACTAATGATTTTTATCAAGCTAGACATGTATCTTCTTAAGATAATAAATGTAATGGAATGTAGAAATACACGATTGCCTCCTAATATTAATTATTTTGTAGAAATTGATAATTTTGTAGAAAAACATTCATGCATTATAATGCATTTTGGACTGTGTCAATAGAAAAGTTCTTCCCTCCTCTAATTACGTGCAAACCCTCACCCCCAAAGGCAGGTGTATTTCTCAAGCCATAAGCAATTAGTCAGTCACTGGAATCTGTAACTTCTGTCAGCCATTCCAGTTCTTTATTTTAGATGTCACTGTTAAACTGTTGCAATGGTCTCAGGACTTTCTCAGTGCTCATTATCACATACACCTTCTATTGTGGGTATCCTCCCCATTGAAATGTTAAGAATTAACCTGTACTCCTTGGGGCCTATGCTATGAGAAAAGCTGGGTGTTCTCTTATATTTGCTTTTCAGTGAAACACTTGAATTTAGAATCATGTATAGAATTAGCTTCTTTAAGTACAAAAATAGACTAATGATCTCATCTCATTTTTAGCTAGGAATAGCTCTTAGAATCAATGAGAACAAAGAGTGTAAAACTAAGGAAACTATCAATACATGCAGACACTACCTCAGAAAACTGTTTTTGTGCAAAGAATGATACTTCATCATAGTCACACACTAGTTATTTTTATCTATATAGCATTCTCACTCATGTGTTTAATATTTGTATTTTCCATTCAGGTGACATGTGAAACCTATTTGGAATAATCAATTAAATTATAAGGAAAAGTGAAGAGGGGGAAAAAAAAAAAAGGAGTAAAAAAGCCTGGAAGATTTACAACGCAGTGTTGCTATTCTATATTCCACAAGTAGGATAAACATAAAATGAGCATTAATGCCACGTGGAGGCACAATGGAAATATCTCTAGATGGAAGTCTGATCTGCTACTCTGAGAAGGGAGAAGTAAAAACGAAGAAGAGGTCTAATTCCGTAAGCCTCCTAATACAGGATACATTCCAATACTTCCTGACATACTTCCAATTCAATTTTCAGGGTAGGTACATCTTGTGACCCCAGATGCACCACCAGAATTTAAAGCCCAAATGGCACCCTTGCCTGAATTTACACAGATCTATTCTCTTTGTTAGGACGGAGTGTTATGGGGCTTGATATAAATGGGATTCCACTGTCAGAAGGTGCAAAGTATTTTCTGACTGCAGAGAATGCTACCAGAATAAGACCATTTTCCCCTCTTGCATGTAAGCCACAGGATGGACCACAGAGTCCATCTGAATGTCCTCAGAAAGCTCCATCACTCAGGAAATTGAATGGCCATGAGCACTGTTTCTAGGTAAATCTTATTTAACGTCGTCCTAATTAGAATCAATAGAACCCAATTTTCATTCCTGTGCCTTGTTATACACAAACTATCTGCCAGGGTCCAGAAAACCTCCCGGGCTACTTGCACACAAAACCGATTCAACCGTTTCAAGTCTTGACACTCATCTGGCAAGGATCTGAAAACTCAGTTTTGTAAATGTTTGTTACAAACATGTTTGCTACAAAAATGTTTGCAATTGGACGAGCTAAGGAAAGGAAAGGGAGATAATGAGTAATGATTTATAAAGAGGTTAGTTATCTCAGACAAACGGAGCTTACAGAAATTGGTGTAGTTATCGTCCTAAAGGTAATGTAATGCACTACTTTGCAGTAATCTTGAGTTTACACAGAGATTCTTGTGTTTCAGTACAACTGCATTAACCTCTGTTCATATTAAACGGGTTGGGGTTTTGGGGTTGGATTCAATCTTTTTCTCTTTGCCTGTTTGGTCTTGGCTTTGTTGGAATGCCAAGCTATCAGCATTTCTACTCAATGACAATATCAAGTAAATGAAAAACTGACAATCTGTGCACCCAGGAAAACTAAACCTCTAATGAAATTAAGCATTAGAGTTTATTAAATTTTATTGTATTATCAGAAAGTTTTTATTATAATGTGCAAAATCTGCTTAGTGAAGCCCTAGATTGTATTTACAGAACAGTGGGACAGCTTATGGAGGCTGAGTAGAAGATGCCAGATTGGACAATTGAAGGAATATAATCAGCATAATGTTTTTTGGAAAGGCAAAAGGAAACTATGCCATATGTTCACTTAAGCCTTAATTTTATGTAAAACTGGCTGTTTTTTCTTTGACACAGCTAAAATGCCCTTTCACTTACAGTTCAAAGACTGTTTATTTGCTCTCCAGATCCCCATATGCTCAAACGTATTGTACACAGCACTGTCCCCTACTGGGGAACATACAGTCACAGAATCAACTAGGTTGGAAAAGACCTTTAAGATCATCAAGTCCAACCATTACCAACATGAACAGATTACCATTACTGTTACCAACAGAAACAGATTCCATTTTCCATACAGCCAGGTATTTTCAAAAGCCTAAAACTGACATGTATGTTGTCAGAGGCACAGGGGCAGAGGCAAAGGGGAGACAAGGAGGAGTTCGCCCTCCTTACTCCTCTGGCTTGCTTCTCTATTTTAGGATCAAATGAAACTTCCCAGCAGGAGCAACGGGATGTATGTATTCTCATTTGGATTTGGAAGAGTTTATAACACTTGATACAGTGTGTATGCCTTTGCAGGGTAATACACTAGCCTCTTGCACTACAGCTATAATGCTATTAAATTTACTTCATGGAATTAGTACAGTCGCTGCTTGAGTTTATATAAGCTGCAAAGCAAAACCCCTAACTATTTTTAGTTAATCGCAAAGAGGATGGAACTTGTATTTTAGCAATGAGATGATCATCTCTCTCTCTCTTAATTTCAGCCTGGAGAGATACAATCAAGGACATTATTAAAACATAACAAAACAAAGCAAAAAAATCCATGAGGGTACTAGAGCCCAAACTACCAATCTATGCCTGTTATTAGTGTGGCATATTGCTGTTTTAATCTAATGCTAGGTAGTGTATTAATCTAAAGGTATAAATTAATGAGGCTCTTAATGTATTTTCATTGGGAGGTTGAGCAGTCAAACTCATTTAGTTAGTGAAAACTACAAAAATCACAATCTTGTGAAATCTGAAACTAGAAGCTTCAATGAACTAATGATGACAGTATGAACCGTTTTATGTACCACTGAAAATAAAGATAACCTGTAAATGTAAAATTTGCACTGCATAAACCATGCTTTTATACACTTCCACCTGTAAAACTATTCTTTGTTCAACTCCACTTGAGAAAGATGAGCATATTTAAAACAGAATTATGTTAACAGCTAAATGGATATAGCATTCATGGTAATATCTTCTGACCAAATCCTCGTCCCTGTCAGAAGGAGCTTAGCAAACAGGGCTGGGAGTCGATAGCTTGTAGTCAAAGAGAAATTCTGAATATGTGGTGTACTCACATGGCTTTTTTGCTGGCTGAACTAGCTGAGGGTTCAGGTATGGGCTATTCTCTGCATCTATTCTGCGCTTGTACTTCTGGCGACCTCCACGTACTCTGTCTAGGCGGACACCTACGTTGGGAAAAATAAGCAAACATGTAATTAAAAATACTATGAGGATGCCTGTCAGGTAACACTCTTGCATCTCCTGACTTCCAATATTTATTTAAATGCATGCTTATTTCAAAATATTAATTTTAGAAAGCAAGGGAAAGCAGCACTAAAAGCGTTTGCAAGCTGGTTAGATTTTCACACACGCAAGACTAAGTATACAACATAATTTCCTGTTCATTTAAAACCATTTGTTCATTTTTACATAGCATTAAAACAGTTAACCAATTTGGTTTCCATTTGAAAGGGCATGATCTTAAGTTGTCTTTGCCAGAAGCAGAAGTTCAAAGCTGTAATAAACACCGTGGATATACAAGGCTAACATTGTGAAGAAGAGAAATACAGAGAATGAGAACTTGAGAAACAAGGAGTGCCGTATACATTTTAGAGTCAAACCCAATGCTTTTAATTAACATGGATTAACATGGCCAGAGCATTATTCTTAGTAAAATAAGAACATATACATGGCTTAAAGACCCGAAATGGTTCATGAGGGTTTGAAAGAAATTGCATGGCTGTGCATTTAAATGTCATCATTGATGAAAGAACATTTGTGTTGTACCTCCATATTGTTCATTGCTTCAATAAAGCATTCTGCTACCTGTTTTGTACAGATAGACAGGAGTTTACCTTCCTGAAACAAGCTGTAGCTGCTCTCATAGACAAAATGAAAAAAGGAGGGGGGGAGAAGATGGTAGGTCCTATAAAACAATGAAGTATTTTTATTTCCTTCCGAGTCACCCAGGCAGATTTCCAGACACCCAGGACAAATGTCAGTATAATCAACTAGTAACATAACACTGAAGTTGAAAAACCTGGCACATATGCAGGGCAACAGGACAAGTAATAAATACCAGGTACAAAATTTGTCTCTGATGACATGGATTTAACCAGACAAGAACGCAAGGACACATTAAATATCAATGATTTCTCTGAGTGATGCAATGAAGTGCAGATCACTTTCTCACTTTGCTTTTCATTCTCTATTTTAGCTCTCCTCCCTCCATCTTTTCTATTGCCATTATTGTGCCCTACTCTACTACTTCCCATCTCCCTAATCTCTCCCCTCGCACGAAATACCTCCACAACTGGCTTCTGGTCAGCAAAGAAACCACCACCAAAGAAGTTAAGGTTTATGTGCACAGCAAGACGAATACAGCACAGAGTTTAAGTGCTGCCCATGAACCTGCGCTGGTAGAACAGTCTAGTTAGTAGGAAACATCTGTCAGTCCTCTTTCATCCTCAAAAACCAAAGAGGATGGGCTGGATTTTGGTGAAGAAAAGCCATTTTGCTTGTTGGTTTGGTTTCTTCTTCTTTTATATTTCTTGACTTTTTTAATTCTTTTCCTGTTCTATCTCCTACTCTCCAAGCTGCCCCAGGGCAGGTTTAGCTGGAGCTGAGGAACAATTCCTTGCCCAGAGGGTGCTCAGGCATTGGAACAGGCTGCCCAGGGCAGGGCTGGAGTCACCGTCCCTGCAAGTGTTCACAGCCCGGGTAGACGAGGCCTCAGTGCCATGGGTGAGTCGTGGCCTTGGCAGTGCTGGGAGCAGTTGGACTTGATGAGCTTAAAGGTCTTTTACAACCTGGTTGATCTATGATTCAAAAGTACATTTCTCATTGGACGTTACCAATTATACTGTGAACCACACTATATAAATAATAAACCCAATAAAGCGCATACCCAAACAGGTCAGTGTATAAGTATAAATGACATCTTATTTATGGTATTTGCCCATATTACTACCAAACTTGTGACTGATTTATGGCCTAAGCTATTTGAGACAATTCATGGTGACCAATCAACAAAGCATGGTTATTTTTTTGTTTGTTTTTAAAGTAATACTTAGAAATGCAGGAACTACAAGACCACTTCAAAAACTGATAGTCCAAAGCTTTTCAGAGCTAATGATAACAGTGTTCTTCACCCTTGAATCAGGAGCTTGAGCTACACCTAAAGCACATGATATCCAGGACAATACACTGCCATAAAAACAAACAGCAAAGACCAAGGTTTGATAGTTGAATATTCAGAAATAGGCAGAGGGTTAGAGGAAGCCACATGTACTGTTGGTGGGATGATGAAAAAGGCTGCCCAGCATTTGAAGAAAAATAGACAGAAAATTATTTCTGCATAATTCAGACACCATCCTTCTTTCTGCTTGGGAGCAGATTTCACAGTGATAAAAGATGGATAGCATGAGACAGAAGTATGTTTAATCAAAAAGTAATGGAACCGAAGCTTAAATTAAAATAATATAAATCTACCATGATGAATATTTTTTCTACCTCCTTTGCATTTGCTGAGATACACATTCAAGCATTCTCATAGTCAAATGGAAGGAAACATAGAGAAATGTTACAATAGCACAGTTACACATCATCCATGCACTTGCCTATTACACATAGTCATACTGGTAAATATAACTACTTCTCCTTCTAAATGAAAACATGGCAATTCTGAAGAACTGGGGAGTAACAGTACTGCATTTTAAAATTACCTAAATCCATAACATAACTAATCCAAATTCTAAGGTGAAAGCATTCTTTGACAATGTAATACAAATAGATGGTAAATTAGAGATGTATAGCCCTTTCACTAAAACTGATACAGAGGTTACCATCGGTTTAGCTCCTAAGCTTTCCTCATTCCTAATACTATTACAAAGTAGCTAGTTTAGAATAAATTTGTGATGATTTATCACACTCTAATTGGTATTTCACTTCCCAAGAGGCTTTACAGGAGTAAACACAATGCAAAACACCATTTAAGAAAGTATACCCATCTGACATTCCATAAGACCTCTGGAGTTCGGCAGGTAGCAAAATGAAATCCTGAGGTTCCTGTGTATACGCATGTACTTCCCCCTGTAACTCCTACAGCTTGTATGAGAGAATCCCCAACATAGAGATGCATTTATCTGTTCTCAACGCAGTAATAGCTAATGCTTTCTTTGTCAGAAAACAAAGGGAAGAAAGAAAAACAATTTTGTCCACAGAGATCTTCATTTGGGGCAGGAGGAGCTCAACATCTTGATCACAGAGGTAATTACTATAATTTAACACATAGATGACTGAGGAGGACATTGTGGCATCTAGCTAGCATACAGGGAGAAGTTAAGCAGGTCTCTGCTTTGGCTCTGTTGTGCATGTGGCTTGCCAGAGTCTTCAGCATCTCAGTTCACTCACCCCATCAGTCGTCAACCATAAAGCAACAAGAAAGATACTCGCTTCACCTATATAAACTCATGTCACATCTCCAGATCAATTGCACTGCAGTTATTATCATTAGAGTTGTTTAGGGTCAAAACAGCCATTAATGTCACTGAACAAAGCTCCACTGAAGACAAGCAAGTTGATTCTACACATTCCCCAATGCTCAGTTTCATTTTCAAATTCTTCAACATAAAAACAAGCCCAAAAGCCCTAATGAGAAAAACAGGGGTGACCACAGAGGACAAATGGACAGAACAGGCTTGTTACCAGTTATGTTACCAGTTACTTTCAACAGTAAAGTGCAACATGTTCACTTTACATCTCAGGACATGAACTCATATGTTCAGGTGTGATGGGTAGTCGCACACTGTGGTACGATTTACAAAGCTTGGGAGATAAGGATTAGACTAGAACTGTAATACACGGAGAGGTGGAAACTATGTAAATCAATGGAATAGCCATGTTTTTAAAAGAAAGCATTTACACATACTAACACAACATAAGGATTTCTCCAGCTGACCTTAAGGGAAAGAAAAATAGTCATAAAGTCACTACACAAGCTTTTACAAAAATGGTTTACCTCCTGGCTCCTCACACAATCTTTGCATGATTTCTTTGATATGCTTCTATATGCTATGTCTATGATACGCTTTGCATGATTTCTATGACACACAACAAAATTATATGGGACACTTACTGTAAAGTGAAAGTGCCAAGACAGTCTTGCACAGAAATAAGTGAAGAGTAGTGCCAGTGTACAAAATGAGCTACCCACCAGGTACTGCAACCTGAACAAACTTCAGCAAACTGAACCCTCCATCTTCTCTGTATTTCCTCATCTGTTCCTCTCTCACCAATTAATTATTCCCATTCTGTAGTCCTTTCTTCACATTGCCTTGACGCCTTCATGTGGGACAGGTCGCCACTATTGCCAGTGCTATACAATCAAAAAGATTGCCCTTACCCCAACATATTTTGCAATTCAGGTCCTTAACTCTGTGGTAATCCTATTCAACCATGCCATCTCATTGTCCGTACTGATCCAAGCCACATCCAAAGTATACTAATTACTCCTTTACAATCTACTTCTCCTTCTTTCTCATCCCCTCCTACTTACGCTGGCTGTTCATTTGTCCCCTTGTTCCACAAACACTCTTATCCTTCCCACGGAGCTCTATATCCACCGGAAATCCTCAGGCTAACTTGGAAGGCATTAGCCTTATCCTTCAAATCTAGACCTACCAACACCAGACCTGCCTGTAAGAAACCGTTTACTTCCTATAATTGGGGAGAGCTTTTTGTTTTAGAAAACATAAATCGAATTCACTGAAATATGAACTAATATCTGAATGAATCAAAGCTCCCTCTGTACCTTCCAGTACATCAAACACACAATTTTGACTTCCTAAAGAAATTTCAAGTTCTGCTCTCTTCCCGTCCCCCCTACATGAGAGATTTATGGCAAGCAGCTATCTTCTACACTGCTGCTGTTTTGGTGTCATTTTTTAGGGTAGTATCTTGATAGAGCATTCCAGTTTATTTGAACATACTGTGCTTATTTGTAAGATTACCGAGTAAGCTTGGGGAAATATTATGAACCCTGGGTTTTGCTTCTATTCACACAGAACAGGAAAACGAGTTGATTTTTCCACCATGAACGGAGATAGAAAGTATTTAGATTTAAGAATGCATGGTCATCTAGTTACTCTTCAGACAATTCAGTAGTCTTTGTAGTTTGGGATTAGAGA